GTCGGAGTCTTACTCTGTTGCTCAGGCTGGAGTGCATTGGCACACTCACTGCCATTGCAGCCTCCACCTGCTGGACTCAGGTGATCCTGCTGGGCTCAGGTGATCCTTCTGTCTCAGCCTTCCAAGTAGCTGGAACCACAGGTGTGCACTACCACATCCAGTTAATTTTTTGATTTACTGTAGAGATGAGGTCTCGCCAACTTTCCCAGGCTGGCCTTGAAACTCTGAGCTTAGGCAGTCATCTTGCGTAGGCCTCCCAAAGTGCTGGGACTACAAATATGAGCCACTGTGCCAAGCCACAATGCCATTTTTCATATTTAAATTATTTTTGTTTATCATGTTAAAATATGTATAACATAAAATTTACTATTTTAAACTTTTTTTTGAGTGGGAGTCTCACTCTGTTACTCAGGCTGGAATGCAGTGGCATGATCATGGCTCACTGCAGCCTCAGCCTTCTAGGCTCAAGTGATCCTTCTGCCTCAGCCTCCCAAATAACTGGGACCGCAGACACACACCACCATACCCAGCTAATTTTATTTTAACCATTTTTTTCTCTTATTTTTTATTTTAAAAATGTGGTGTATAATTCAGGGTTAGGCATAAGGATGATTATTGTACAGGTAAAGTGTGGGTGCCCTTATTGATGTTATGTGCCCCCAGCTCCTGGCAGTATCCCACTACTGCTAATCCCTTTCTTACAGTATTATGAGAAATGTTCAGGGTCTGCTTATGAATGAGTACATGTGGTACTCAGATCTTTGTTTCTGTGATAAATCACTGAGTATTATAGATTCTAATTCCATCCAAGTTGTTGTGAAATTCATAACTCTGTTTTTCTTTATGGCTGCATAATATTCCATCATGGAAATGTGCCATATTTTCTTTATCCAGTCCACTTTCGATGGGCAGCATGTGCAGATTTTTTTTTTCTTTTGAGTTGGGAGTCTTACTCTGTTGCCCAGGCTAGAGTGCAGTGGCACACTCACGGCCACTCTAGCGCTGACCTGCTTGGTTCAGGTGATCCTTCCGCCTCAGCCTTCCAAGTAGCTGGAACTACAGGCACGTGTTACCACACCTGGATACTTTTTTGATTTATTGTAGAGATGAGATCTTGCCAAGTTGTCCAGGCTGTTCTCGAACCTGTGGGCTCAGTTTGTCCCCTCACCTTGGCCTTCCAAAGTGCTGGGATTACAGGCTTGAGCAACCATGCCTGGCCAGGTATCTTTTTTATGCGGTGAAGTTCCTCTGGGTATTTTCCCAGAAGGGGGATTGCTGGGTGGTATGGGAGGTTCATTTTTAGATCTTTTAGAAATCGCCACACTGTTTTCCACAGAGGTTGTACTAGTTTACATTCCCACCAACAGTGTAGAAGTGTTCCCCTTTCCCTGCATCTTCTCCAGCATCTGGGTTTTTTGAGTTATTGATGATGGCCATCCCGACTAGAGTTAGGTGGGATCTCAGTGTGGTTTTAATTTGCATTTCTTTGGTGATTAGTGAGGCTGAGCATTTTTTCATGTTTCTGTTGACTGCTTGTATGTCTTCTTCTGAGAAGTGTCTATTCATATCTTTTGTGCATTTTTTAATAGGGTTTTTTTTTTCCTTTTGGTACATTTGAGTTCCTTGTAGATCCTGGATGTTAGGCCTTTGTCAGATTTACAGTTGGAAAATATTTTTTCCCATTCTGTGGGCTGTCTCCCCACTCTCTTGATGATTTCTTTTGCTTTGCAGATGCTTTTCAGTTTGATGAGGTCCTGCTTGTCTATTTTATTTTTTTTTTAATTTTTTATATGAAAGATGTGGGGTACAATTCAGGGTTAGTTATACAAATGTTCATTATGCAGGTACCCTTGTTGGTGAAGTGTGCCCCTCCTCCCGGCAGTTTCCCACTACTGCCAATCCCACTTCCCCCTCCCCTGGCAATTTCCCATTACTGCCAATCCCTTTCTTATAGTATTATGATAATTTTTTTTTTTTTTTGAGTTGGAGTCTCACTCTGTCGCCCAGACTGGAGTGCAGTGGCCACTCCCAGCCACCGCAGCCTCGACCTGCTGGGCTCCAGCAATCCTTCCGCCTCAGCCTTCCAAGTAGCCAGAATTACAGGCATGCGCTACCACACCCGGCTGATTTTTTGATTTATTGTAGAGATGAGGTCTCGCTGCCCAGGCGGATCTCGAACCCGCAGGCTTAGGCAATCCATTCACCTCAGCCTCCCAAAGGCACGGGATTACAGGCTGAGCCACTGAGCCTGGCTACTATTATGATAATTGTTCATGGTCCGCTTATGAGTGAGAACATATGGTACTCTGTTCTTTGTTTCTGTGATAGATTACTGAATATGATAGACTCCAAATCCATCCAAGTTGCAGCGACGTTGTCTATCTTATCTTTTATGGCATTAACTTTAGGAGAGTTGATCAGGAATTGGTTGCCTATTCTGATTTCTGTAAAGGTGTTTCCTGTATTTTCTTCTAGGATTTTCATAGTTCGAGGTTTTGTGATCCATTTAGAGTTGATTTTTGTGTGTGGTAATAGGGGTCCTGTTTCAGTCTTCTGCATGTGGTCTGCCAGTTTTCCCAGCAGTATTTACTGAATAGATTCTCCTCTCCCCATTGGTTGTTGGTGGAGGCTATTTTAACCATTTATAAGTGTACAAT